CCTCCTCCTCCTCCTCCTCTTCCTCCTCCTCCTCTCCCTCCCCCTCCTCCTCCACGGCCACCTCAGACAAAAGTTCCCCTCCAACGGGGCGCGCCCGAAGCATTTTCTTGGAGGCCTGGACCTCGAACTCTTTCTCTCTCCCTCATTTCAAGAGCGTCCTCCTCCACGACCACCTCATCCTCCACCTCCTCCTCCTCCTCCTCCTCCTCCTCCTCCTCCTCGTCCTCCTCCTCAAATTCCTCCTCTCCGGCTCCCTCCGTCCATTTCCTCCTCCACCTCCTCCTCCTCCACCTCCTCTTCCTCCTCCAACTCCTCCATCTCCTCCTCTCCGCCTCCCTCCGTCCAACTTCTCCGTCCAACTCCTCCTCCTCCTCCAACTCCTCCTCCTCTTCCGCCTCCTTCCGTCCCTCCAAACATGCTTCCATCCCTCCCGCCATTCCTTCCCTCCCTCCCCCATCCTCGTCCCCCCTCCCGTGGCCCGCAAGTCCGCTCCGCAGGTGCGGGGCGCGACGGAATCCAAATCCGAGGGGTCTGCTTCTCCAGATCCTGGGGAGCGCCCCGCGGAGCGAGGAACGCCATTTTGCATTCGCGGCCATGACGGGAGTTATGGATGGGGGGAGGGGCATAACGCAGTGCCCCCCCCCCCCCCCCTTTCGGACTGTGGAGCCGGACGCACTGCGGCAGTGCTGGGTGCGCGCTGCAGGGGGGGGCCGAGCGTTCCGTTATAGGGGGGGGAGGAAGGGGAGGGCAGGGGGCTTATCGTGCGTTATGGCCCCTGGGGAAGAGGAGGAGGAGGAGGAGGAGGAGGAGGAGGAGGAGGAGAAGGAGGAGGAGGGGGAGGAGGAGGGGGAGGAGGAGGAGGAGAAGGAGGAGGAGGAGGAGGGGGAGGAGGAGGGGGAGGAGGAGGAGGAGGAGGAGGAAAAGGAGGAGGAGGACGAGGAGGAGGAGGAGGAGGAGGAGTTACGGAATTACGGGTGGGGCGACCATGTCGGTTACAGACCGACAACTCATGTGAGTTTCTTCGGGGTTCTCTTAGCCTGTTCAGTCTTGCTGTAGACCTTCGGCCAGAGCCCTTTTTACTGATACGCTCAAGGTAGTCTCTACGATTATGGGTTAAACATAGCTTTTGACCACATTCCTTCCCTAAGTTGGCCAGCTGTTCAGCTGCGAAACTACCACATGATGTGCAACACCAAATTCCCACCCCCAGGTGATAGTTTCAAGCGTAGGTTTTGTGAGCGTAACCCCAATATGTGCACCCTGCGCCCAGGAGGAGGCTGACGACTTTGAGTACTGGACTTATAATCGTGAACAACTCGAAACAAGGTGAGCTCAACCACTCGCTTGTCTTGGCGAGTGAAGTCGGCCCCAAACAGCGCGAGCAACCACGCCCGTCTTCGCGGAGACAATGCGAAGACGCGAAGGCGGCGCAAGCACTGGCTGAGGGAGGACGCGCAACCTGTTGAGAGTTCCGACGTGTGTGCCTTCGACCCTCCTGCCGAGCAAGAGGTTCCTCGGCCTGTATAGCTTCGAGCGTGCTCTGTAGAATACGCGTGCGCACAACAAAAACAATATGCTCGGCCTGCCCAGCACGCGTGCGTCCAGATTCTGACAGACGGGCCACGTTCGCATCAGCCGAAGCGAATGTGTCCGCACCACAGTTTTGTACTGAGGACGGGGAGGAGGAGGAGGGTGGGGGGGAAACGCAGGAACTGCTCAGCCTCACTGTGTGACTTGGCGACAAGGACTGTGCTTGACATGCTAGACTTCTTGCCGAGGGTTGCGCCAGTCCTCCACCACATATCAGCGTCGTTCCCCGCGGGCCTTCTCCAGCGTTGCCCATGCCAGCCCTCGAGCACGGACGAATTGTCAGTGACATACACAATGTTTCCTTCACTCGCCCTTATGCCCATGCAAAGACAATATAGTTCCCTACGAAGAACCGTTTGCCTGGATTCTGGGAGCGGCCCCCACGCCCCAACGGAGAGGGACATGGAGGGATCGAGGTTCCGGCAAGCCGCCAAGCCCATACCGATTCGGCGGAGGCGAGGGCAGTGCGTCTCCCTGCCTCCGCTGACGTCTCCAAAGATGAACCAGGGATTGGCAGCGGCCCCTTTTCCAAAGCCAGAGAACTCGGCATCGGCGCTGGTTCAACTTTTCTGAGACAGAGTCGCAGCAACTTGAACCCTACTCTGCGGCGACAAAGTTCCGGTCCAGAAACACTCCTCCGCCTCGCCCTTCGAAAAAGCCTCAGGGCAAAACTCGTCGCTCATCTCGCAGATCGGATGCTCGACCCTACCCGCGCAACCCCAAATGCGATGAAAATGTTTTCAGGGCATCGTCGGCGCCTCGGGCACTCGGTCGAAATCGTCTGCTCGCATCGTGTCTGTCGTCGCGCTCGGGGCCACGATGCACCTGCTGTTGCTGCTGCCAGTAACGGACCTGAGAGTCTCCTCCAGCTGGCTGCCTGCTACAACTGCGCCAAAAACTTTCGGCGCGAATAATGGCATGCTCCATTCGCCATTCTTGCACCTCGGGAATGCCCTGCAGCCTGTTCCCAATGTTGTCGCTGGATTCTGCTGTGGAACTCTGCAAGGCAATCTTCTGGGACGTCGACAGCCGCGCGTCCAGCGAGCGCGTCACGCCGAAACTCCGAACTGCTATAATTGTCAAGTCCCGCCCACCGAGATGGTGACTCAGGACGCAACCCCGCATGGAGGAGGTGGTTGATGACAGCAACCCGAGGCCCCCGAATGCGTCGGCAACGTCGGGCAGGAAGGAGGCCCCGCAACTGCTGAGCCATGGTCGTCCAAGTTCTCTGGGCGCCCTTCCTGATGCTGGGCTCCGAGACCCGCGCAGCGATCCACGCGCGGAGGGTACTAGCTGGGGGCGCGCGAGCTGGGCCCCTCTCCTCAGCGCATAGAATCAGGACGGTTGTGAAACGCCTGCCTGCGAGCCGAGGAGCGCGCGCATTTGCAAGTTGACGGCGTGAGTGAGCCACTTGCCCCCCCAGACCCCATGGAGCCGGCGAGCGTGGAGGCCTGCTGATTTCGCCCTCTGCTGCTGCCGGCGCGACGTCAGCCTGTGCTTCCTCGAACTGCGCGCGAAAACCATGACCTTGCGGGGCACCTGGTGATGCTTCGCCGCTCGAGCTGCGCGCGTGCCTCGACCCTGTTGGCGACCTCCTGCAACGCCGCCTCCGAGGCATGCTGCCTGGTCCGAAGACTTCATCTTGAAACCGAAACTGCCGAGCCGCCGCGCCGCCGCGCGCGCTCCGTGGACGCGACTGCAAACCGCGACGCGCTTGGACGAGATCTGCCTCGACAGAACTCCTGCGCGCGGTGAGCAAGCACGCGGCGAGCTGCTCCCTCATGCGGACGCGCGATCCTCTGCAAGACTGGCTTCAATCGTCCACCCTCGGGCGATGCGACATATTGATGTGACAAATGGTGATTTGGTCCGTGATGAAAAGAGTGGGGAACCTCCCGAATCTCGCGCCTGCTCCGAGGCCTTGGGCAATATACCGCGCGGGGCAAACAGGCGGGCAGCAAACCACGCCCTGTGTGACGCGTCGCGCGGCCACGCGCTGAAGTTCCAGTCCTAGGTAGGATACGCGGGGCACTCTAATCTCAATGCAGCCTGTCCAGTCTTATACCATCCTACGCTGTCGTAGAAGGATGCGGCACCCACCAGTCCACGTCCGTGGGCGGCGCCGAGCTGCGCCGCAAGTTCTTCGCCCACCGCCCCGAGGAAAAAAAACATGGCGCGCCGCGGCATTCCCGCGCGCGGCAGCGTCCCAGTGGTCCTCGCACTGATCGGCCCATGAGCGAACATAATCTTCTCGGGCTCGAGACCAGGCTCGCGCGAAAAAGGAAAGGAGACCCATTGCCCTGTCCCAGGTGCTCTTTTGCGGGGGCAGCGCTCCAGTCGTCAGCAAAACTTGGCGAGGCCATGCTTGATACCATTCGCAGGATGATGCAATCGAGGCAAACTCGGCGATCTCAGGGCCGGGCAATCTGTCAGTGTCAGTGCCTCACAGGCGATCCACCCCCATAGCCGAGGATGGTTTCATACGTCGTAATGCACGTCGTATACCTCTGATCTCGAGGGCTGGCAGTGGAGCTTTCTGCACGCGCGATCGAACGTCTGCAAACATATCCTCAAGCTGCTCCAGGTCCTGACCTGACGGGCTCCAGAGGGCCTCCCACTTGTCCGCCGTCGTCTCCAAGATCTCCCGAGGGAGCAAGACGGCGCGCTGCCCGACTTCGAACTCCTCGGGGCCAAGAAGGGACTGACGCACATTGCGATGCAGCGCTTCGACGGCAGGCGCCGTCTCACTCCACTCGCGAAGTTGCGCGATCGACTTGCTGATTGCACGATGCTGACTGCGCCTGGCAAGACGCCCCGCAAACAAACACCTGTCGTGAGAGCGGCGTCCGAGCGTTGATCCAGAGATTCCAGGAAACTCCCCCGCTGGCTCCACTTGCGCTGATCACGGGGTCGAAGTAGGGAGTGAAAATCAGCTGGCGCTTCGGCAAGGAGGTCGCGAACTGCTTGAAACGACAGAAAACCATGCTGCTCGGGCCCGCTGCGCCTCTTGCGCAGCCGCAAACTGCTCGCCGCCGCGCAGAGGCGAGCCCACCACCCGCTGACTTTGTCGCGTGGAGTCGCAGTCCGTCGCGGCGTGGACTGCTGGGCGCGCACTTTTGGACTTCGGGGCCTGACCCCTCGAGAGGGCGGGCGTAGTCAGACGGCGATGGGCGCGCGGCGCCTCCTCCGCCGCCCGCGCCCAGCTACGGCGGAGCGTGCCGAGGCGCTGCGAAGCCTGGGCCCCGAGCCGACATGCTGCGGAGGAAGCGACAGCCTCGGCAGGGAGACAGGGTGAGTTCGGCGAGAACCCGACGTTTCTTCTGGCGGCCGTCCAGGTTCCATCGGCAATCCGAAACTCAACCTCGGGGGGCACTGACTGAGCTCGCCGACTGACGCTGGGGCGGCTCTTCCTGGGCGCCCATCGCAAGGGCGTCGCTCTCGAAGTTCGCTGCGGGCGGCAACTCCGATGTTGGGCTCGTCGGCCGGCCGTGCTCGGAGGCGCCGCCCCAGTCGGAGTCGCGGGCCTCATCGACGTTCTCCAAGCCGCCTGCTTCGACGCTTGAGGCCTAGCCCCCCCCCGAAGAATAATAATAATAAGAAGAAGAAAAAAATGACCGACCTGGAAATCCTCGCCTGCATTCAACACGTCGCCAAACCAGGCATTGATCTTGCTGTCTCGCTTCTGGGGCGCACGGTGTCTGGCGGCGGCTTGCCTCTGCTTGCTAACGGGGGCCTTGGGCCCCTCCGCGGCCTTCTTCTGAGGCCTGCGGACAGGGGGGGCCTGGGGGCAAGCTCCGCGGCGCGCCGCAGACACCCTGCGCGCTGCGCGCGTGCGATCGGGCCGCGGGACACGCGGCTGAATAATATAAATGCGAGGGTTCGTGACCCCCCCGGAGGGAATGTGAAATCTAAAGGTCCGGTTAAGATCTAACCCCCAGTACGTTCGAGGGAACCTGTCTTCTCTAACAAAGCTGGGACAAACATCCAATCGGCAGGCATGACCAAATCATCTGGAGCACAGAGACCAGGCTGGCGAAATCGCGGAAGCGCGTAGCATTCTGATCGCGAAGCCCGATGGGCGAATGTCCTTAGCAAATGATATATACAAAAGAGAAACCTTCGCAGTGCATCATAACAAGCAAGGCCGATTGCTTTGGCTGCTTGGGCTTCATCTGAGACATGCACGGGATGATGATCACGCGCAAGGAGCAACTCACCTCCCTCACGAGACGCCTTCAGCTCGCCCCCCCCTGCGACGAGCCATCTTGCTTTGGCCTGGGCACCGTTGGCCAGGGGCTAGAGGGGGCTGCCCCTCGCCTCCGTGCGCCATGCGGCGCAGCCCTTGGCGAGGGCGCGCGTCTCGCGCGTGGGCGTGGAATCGCACTTCTGCAGCTGCAAATGAAAACGCGCCCCCGGGCCTTGCAGCTAGCGCTGGCAAGAGAAAACAAAAAAGAGCGACTTGTCGGAGACAGCCTCTGTCGAGCGCCCATTGGACGCACTGGGGCCGGAAAGCGACGAGGCCCGCTCAGTCGACGCACTGGGGCTGAATGACGATATTGTACCAGTAGACGAAGTACTGGGCCCCGAAGCTGCAGCGCCAGCGCTGGTCGCGCCGGTGCCCCTGCTCCTCGGAGTGCCAGAAGACAAGGAGCGAGCTGCCACTGATAGTCGCACCTTCTTGGCATTGGAGGCCGCCGACTCGCCCTTGCCGCCGCCCTCGGCCGCCTCCGCCGCCCGCCGCGCCTGGAACTTCATCTGCGAGGGGCGGGCCGCCGCCTCATTGAGCTCCAACTCCTCTGCCTTAACCTTGGCCGCCGCTGCCTCCTGGGCGGCGGCGTCGTTTTCCTTGCCGCCGCCGCCGCCAGGGGTGGCCTGGCCGCTGTCGCCCTTGCGCATCTTCTTCATGCGGTCCTGGATCTCAGCGCGGGCGTTCCTGGCCCGGCCCACAAACATCTTCCGCCCCGCGTCCTTGCCCTGCGCCTCCTTGCGGTAGCGCTCGAGCTCTGCTTTCACCTGCCCGAGCTGCACCGTCTCGCTCTCCTCGCAGTTCCAATTCTCAAACTCTGCGAAGATCTCACCGTTCATTTCAACGCCGAGCACCGAGGCCGAGGGCTTGTCGGTCGACGACTTTGGCAGCTCGGTCTTGCGCGGCCTGCGCGAGCGCCGCTGTGGCCGCCCGTCTGGCGGCCTCGGCCTTGGCCAGGTCCATCGCCGCCTCCTGCTCCTTCTTCTCCGCGAGCTCCAAGTGGTGGCGGATGCGGCTGACCTGGGCCACAAGCTTGTCGTGCCTGTTGCTCGCCGCCCTTTACGCGCCGTCGGCCTCATTGACCACGTCAACCTCGGTTTCGACAGGGCCCGAAGCGGACGTGGTCTCCAACCTCGTCTTCTGGGCTGCCAACGCCGCCTTGAGCTCGGGGCCCGCCGCCGCCTGCATGGCCTGGCTGAACAGCGTGGTGACCTCGGCCTGAGCCTTGACCGCGCAGCCCTTGCCGACGTGGTGCCACGGTGCGGCTGACTCTTCCTCGAGCGAGGACGGAAGAACCTGACCTTCTTCGAACAATTCGGGCATTTGCAGCCCGTGGCCATGCGCCGGCGGGCATGCTGCGCACTGTCTAGAAACCCAGTTCTCGTGCTCAGAAACTGACTGCGGGGGGGGCAATCAGCTGCGGAGCTCCCCCAAGCACCTCGCGAAGGTACTGGAACAGCCCGAGCAAAATGCTCGGGCCTGAACGTTTGTTTGTCTGTTTTGCCGTTGCGCTGCTCTGAACTGATTCCAGGCAGCCGTGCAAAACACGGCGCGGCAGCCAGGCCGCCGTCGAGCGCGGCGCTTAAACCAGACGAGCACCGCACAGGACTGGTCATACATGCGGTGCTGCCCGCGCCAAGATGCGGGCCACACGACAGGGCCATGCCCCCGTGGCGTCCGGCACCTCTAGCCCACAAGTACAACCTGCGGGCCAATCGTCGGGGCACGTGCCCCCGCGTGGCCAGAACCAGGAGGAGTACGTGTTCCGCGAACGATGCGCGAGACACGGCACGCAAGGAGGCCGTGCTCCGCGCGCCCTGCTCGAGGTAGGGGGCGCTGGAGGCCATGCTCCGGCGCCCAGCCTACCCACCACCCACTCCGTGGGTGGCCGCGGCGACGAGGGTCCCAAAGGACGGGCTGCGCGGCGCCGCCAAGGGACGACGCCGCGCCACCCGCCCCCAGGGACCCAGGTTTCGGACCCCAGGACCGAACCAAAAGGGGCACGACACGACACGACACGACGGGGGGACGCAACGGCCACGACACGACACGCACGACACCACACGGACGAACGACACGACGGAGACGAGCCGCCAGTCCCGCACCAGGGCGGCGAGCGCAGGGGGGGGTCCAACACCGCCCTGGGGGAGGCCACGGGACCTGGCGACCCCCCCGAGAGAAGGAAACCGCACTTTGGCGGCGTCCCCCGGGGTGCGAAAGCTTGTCGCCCCGAGGGCCCGGCGGTCCCCGCCTCCGCCAGGGGGCCCACTCTTGGGGGGCCCCCCGGGGCAAGGGCCTGAACGGCTTGAGGGAGGAGGAGGAGGAGGAGGAGGAGGAGGAGGAGGAGGAGGAGGAGGTGGAGGAGGGGGAGGAGGAGGAGGGGGAGGAACCGCTCGGTGATGGACCACGCGAATACCTGCCACACGATGCTCTGCACAGCGCCCTTGATGGAGGAGAAGGGGGGCACCAGGACGAGGCCTCCAACTGGGCACCAAGCTGCCAGATAAACAGCAGGGCCACTACCCAGTGACCGGCCAAACAGAACTATCTGGGAATACCGAGCGCCGATCTCGTCAACGGTGAAGCGCAAGAGCAGTCAGGGCCACCTCGTACATTCCATCGTCCGATGCAGGCAGGTCCTGCAATAAGCCATACCCTGGAAATTCCACCGGCAGAACGTTGACTTTGAACTGGTCCCTCATGTGCTTCAGCACTTGAAAGCACATGCCAAGGTCCTCTGCATTGGCGTGGGAAAACAGCAAGACCGTGGCCGCCTTCGGGGCTGGGAACTACAGGCATGGGATGCCGTCTTCTCGCTCCGCCGCCCTGCTGGGCGAGATCACCCTGCTCTAGGGTATCCAGCAGAGGTGGCGCTTGTAGGACGTGGCGGAATACGACGGCACCGGCGCGGGAAAGATAAGCTTGTAGCCGAAGTTCTCGAGCATCGGCGCCTGCCCGCCCCCGGCCTTTGGCCGTTGCCTCCCGCGGGCGGGCCGGCGGCCTTCAAGCGCTGCTGCTACTGCGGCATTGCAACTGCAGCCCTTGACGCGTGCTCACGGCATCGGCGGCTTGGGCCATGACGGCCTTGAGCCAAAATGGCTACGGAGGAGGAGGGGGAGGGGGAGGGGGAGGGGGAGGAGGAGGAGGAGGAGGAGGAGGAGGAGGAGGAGGAGGAGGAGGAGGAGGAGGAGAAGGAGGAGGAGGAGGAGGAGGAGGAGGAGGAAGAGGAAGAGCGAGCGAGCGAGCGAGCCAGCACTGCGCTCGGACCTCGGAACACGCTCCGTGAAAGATCCTGTATCCGAGGGGGGGCTCTCTCTCGGGTCGGCGCATCTTGCTCGGATGGCGGCCAGGAGGTGTCCGTGGCCCAAGCTGACTTCGGATCCGCCGAACTCTGTGTTGTTTTTCCACTTACGAAGTGCGTCGGAAATGCGCGCGAAACGATGCGAAAAAACAAAGCGGAAATGTCCGCCTCAGAACCAATAGGGCGGACATGCCCGACACTATACAACGGAAATAGCGACGGCAAAATAAAGCGAAGATCGACATCAAAGGGGCTTGGAAAGTAAAGGAGAAATTTCCACCCTGCTTGCGAAATCGCTCAAAGTCCGGCGGATCCGGAGTCAAGGCAAGGTACCCCCAGGATCTCCAAAGTAAGCACCCGCGGCTTCCAGAGCACCCCTCGCGAGGCCCAGGGGGCCCCAGGGGCTTCAAGGTGGAGCGAAAGGCTTTGGACACCTTGGGCCAGGAACATCTTCCCAGATTTGTGGATGCCACGACGATGGACGCCCTAACAGTCCTATCACTTTAATTTTCAATGTGTTTAAAATATAGGGAAATGTTCTAAGCATGTCTAAAACTTGTTTTGATTTGCCTGTTTAAAAAATGTTTAACACACGTCTTAGACATCTGGAAACTATTTGGCAACGTGCGTCCTCTCCATTGATCACCCTCCACAACAGAAGCCCTGAACTCCCGAATGGTGCCACCTCTTGGGGGGGAGGGCAACATCTTCCCAGATACACGACGTCATGACTTCCGTTGCAGCGCTGACCCCCAGGAGGTCTCGACACGTCCCCGGGGGGAGCGTTGTTTTCATCCTGCGCCGCTGGATCGCCCCAGGGCCCAACGAGAACCCCCGGAGGCCGAGCCTAGCGCTGCGGATGCCACGGCAATGACACCCTAACAGTCCGATCATTCAATTTTCAAATATGTTTAAAGTGTAGGAAACATGTTCTAAACATGTTTAAACCTGTCTAGCACACGTTTGAGACATGTTGTAGACATCTGGAAATTGTTTGGCAGCCTGTTTCCTCTCCATGCATCGACTTCCACAAGCCTAGCGAGAGGCTGCCCGCTGCGATTTCTCAAGTTCCAGGAGGTCTGAGCTCCAGAATGGTGCCACCTCTTGGGGGGGGGGGCAAGCAAGCAAACCATCCTGAGGACGCGTAGGGAAAATAATGGCTGGCTAAAAATGATGGTGGCGCGCCATGCGCGTCCCGGAAGCAGTCAGCCAAAGGC